AAAAGACATCACGGTGGGAGAGGTGGAAGGTCAGAGAAAGATAGGAAGACCCTTGGCCAGATGGACCGGCAGAGTGACTATCACAACAAGCTTGAACAAGTTAGAAGTGGTAAGGATGTTGCAAGACAGGACAGGGTTCAGATCTGCTGTAGGAGACTTGATGGTACCCAGAAGATTGAGATTGTTTACAGCTTCAGCTGGCTTGGTTCCACAATCAGCACTCTTGCTACCAGAAGCCATGGAAGAAAAGAGATGAATAGCACTGGGAAAACCTGCTATCAGAGACCTCTCCAGAATAGTGAAGAGGAATGATGTCAGTCTAGAGACTAAGGTGTGCCTAATCAAGCCACTGTGTTCACAATCGCTTGCTATGCATCAGAGAGCTGGACAATGACAAAGGATGACAGAAGAAGAATTGATGCCTTCAAGTTGTGGTGCTGGAGAAGAATCTTGAACATACCATGGACAGCTAGATAAACAAACAGATCTGTTCTGGAGAGAGTAAAAACAGGCTACTCCTTGAAGGCAAGGATTTTGAGGCTACATATGACATACTTTGGGCATGATGCAAGGAGGGATCACTGCTTGGAGAGGGACATCATGTTTGGAAAGGTGGAGGGACAGTTTAGGCAAGGAAGAGCCTGGGAGTATGTGTGTTGGATACAATGAAATTGGTTCAAGAGAGAGCAGGGTTCAGAGCTGTTGTACACAAGGTGGCTATGAGTTGCAAGCAACTTGACAGCATGTAACAACAGCAACAAGAAGTCACTAAAATGTAGAGAAAATAAATTTGCTAGTCAAAGTTACTCCTCTTAGGAATTTGTTACAGCAGCAGTAGAGAGCTGACATACCCATTATCTGCAGCGAGGTGGCAAAGACAGTCACATCCCAGACCCAAGGTTGACAGTTCACAAACAGGCACAAGTGCCTGGGAAGAAAGGTCTGGCATTCCACTTCTGCAAAGTCACATCCCTACAGAAAAGCCTACGGTGAACAGAGCCACGCTGTGCACACAGAGTCCTTCTCCACACACTGGGTCCGTCTGCTCACACTGGAGACTGGTTGGGTTGGACAAGCTATTGCTAATCACCAACACCACACCCACTGCCTTCTACCTGTTTCTGACTCCCAGCAGCCCCACAGGACAGGTTAGACCGGCCCCACAGGATCTCCAACATCTATTGGGGGGTTATATTGCCTCATCTTTCTTTCCAGATCAGCTAGCGTGTTCAAACTCCCAACCTTTCGGTCCTACGCTGAGCATTTTCACCACTGCGTCACCAGAGCCTCTTACACATCTCGCTGTGACCACCTCACTGTAATCAAGACACACTCTCCCAGCGTGACGTACGGCGATAACCAGATTACTTCTGCTTCCCTCCTGAAACCCACATGCTGAGGAACTTAGGGAGAAAAAAACCTGAGAAGCTAGGAATATTATGAATATTCATACATTAACTCGATTAAATCATTCCCGTCAAAACACAGCGAGTCGTCAGAAGCGACGTGCGCTGGAAGCCGGCATCGCTATTTCTGCACCTTTGTGTTATCTAGCCACCGTGAGTGAATTGTCACAGGACAGAGGGACAGGCATCTCCCGGAGTCCTGGCAGGTGAGAAACTGCTCGCTGTTGACCAAGTGCTTGGAGGTCCCTTGGAGAAAAGTCCTGTCAGTCCGCTCCTGAACACCTGCTTCTGGAACCCATGCTGAGTAGAGCCTTCCTCGGGTATCTGGACACCTCCTGGTGGACAGGCAGTGTGGTGTGCTTCTGAGAAATGGCAGGAGGGTACACAACTAAAGGATGCCAAGTGTCTTGGTAAACCTGACCACCAGCAGGCAGTGAGGGACTGTTTGGCCACGGAGCTCGGCTTCCAAGACCGAGATGTCAGTGTGAGTTCAGTCCAAGGCACTCACTACCTACACAGTCACCACACATCTGTCAGTGGAGGCTTCTGGGACACTGACCAGACTGCAGCAGCCCAGCCAGGAAGACTAGGAAGCAAGGCCAAGCAATCTCCTTTCGAAATCAGCTCATGAAAGCCTTCTGGCTTACGGCTCTCCAGGTCAAAATTCATCACAGGACCAGGCAATGCTGGAAACCTGGGGCCTCCAACCAGTCATGTTGTGGTCCCCTGATACAACAGCAGGTGACAAGACAGTCATTGCTGTGGGCCCCTGCTCAGTGTGGTCGACACAGTCACGATGCAGGACCATGCAGCCAGCTCGTCTTCCATTTGAGAGCCTGTGGTCACCAGCGAGACATGGACTGAGCTCAGAGCCATAATCAGAGAGACAGATCCAAGGCAGAACAGAGAGAGAAAGGAGAGACAGGCAGACCATCCTGCAAAGACGGGTCATCTCAGCTGGGTACATTTTCTTGCATGGAGTTGCAAAATGTCACCTCTTACAAAGTCCAAAAGTAGGTGTGCTGGTGGCACAGTGTTTAAGGGTCTGCTGGTAACCAAAAGCTTGGAGGCTGGCACCCACGTGACGATTTCATGGTAGAAAAAACATAGGAAAATCAGAGCACCGAAAGCCCACAGGTGTACCCCATCCCACATGGCCTCCTCTTGAGTTAGAATCAACTCAATAAATAGCCATCAACAAACCACTATCAATACACGCCAATCTCAGAGACACGGGAGGCCCGTTGTAGCCCATCACAAGCCAGTGTCGCCATAAAGCCAGCCCCAGGAATTGTCTGCTTTCTTGGTGCTTGTAAAAGGGAGAACACTAACACAATAAAGTATTACTATAAACCCAGCCACAGGAATTATCTGGGTTTCTCAGTGCAGGTCAAAGCTACACAAGTTACAACATTGCATCCAAGCATGATCATAAAGCCAGACACAGGAATTGTCTGGTTTCTCAGTGCTTCTGAAAGTTACAAGCCATTTACAATTATGGGTTGTAAATCCTAAGCCCAGACTCATGAAAGAGTGGCCTTTCTTTGTGATGTTAGTGGGGCAGAATGCTTTCCTTTTGGGGCTGCTAGGTGACGGGTCACTGGTTTGAATCCATCAATTGTGCCAAGAGAGAAAAATGAGGCACTTTTCTCCCATTAAGATATAAAGCTTTGGAAAACCAATGTGGGATCATTGTGAGTTCTAAATGACTGGAGAGCAATGAACTCCTTTCTATTTTTTTAAGTGTAGGGTGTACTTTGATCTTGAGTCCTCCACTTATGCCACAGAAATGCAACCAATGAAGCCAGCAGAGATGGAGAAAGAGAGATGCCACATAATGCTCACCGAAGAATCCAGAAGCAGAGCTGAAAAGAGACTGGGACTCTTCCTCAGAGCTCACACACTGAAATGAGAAAGAGCTACCCCCCTTAGAGCTGGGACCCTCCCTGGACCACCTGCATTATGCAGTTGGCACAACCTTGCTAGCTGAAAGTAAGGAGGTCTTGAAACATCTGCCGCTGAAGATCAGACGCTCTACATACAGCCTTCCACATCGACTGCATCACAACATCAAGAAAAAAAAAGTCCTCCCACTGGGCCCACAGGCAAAAAATCATAATAGATGGAGAAAAGATTGAAGTGCTCCATTATTTCATCGTATTTGCATCCACAGGCAACACTTCTGACATCAACAGTCAAGAAGTCAAAAGACGTGTCCCAGTACTGCATGGTGCCACTGTTGTAGAATGCGTCTGACATCAGGGTTGGGGTATTACAGAAAAAACTGGATAAATTATGTATATTGTATTGAAACAGATGAGGGAAAGAACAGATCAGAGGTGATATATGATTATTATGGTTAGCACAGGAATCCAGAATTAAGGTTGCATAGAGAAGTGTACTCGGGGTGTGGGATGGAGGGGAAGGGACAGGAAAATTGTATACTTATGAAGGAATTTTTTTTTCTTTTTCTTTTTGGAGAGGGGAGTGAACTGGTGGGGAGGGGTGGGCAGGGAGAAAAGTGCGGCAATGAATGAATGGAAATCCTAAACCTCTGTAAATGTCTATTAAAATTAATAATATATATATACATATACACACACACACATATAAAATAAAAAAAAAAGATGTGTCCCATTGGGAAAATCTGCTGTCAAAGACCCCTCTCCAAAGTGCCAACGAGCAACAATTTCAGTTTAAAGACTAAGGTGAGGTACACCCGATCTAAGACAAGGTCTTGTCAGTTGCTTTGTATGCATCCGAAAGTGGGATACTGAGAATGAAAATAGGATGAATCATCGACACCTCTGAGTTCTGGTTTTGAAGAAGAGTGCTGGACGGTGAAGCTCAACTCACAGCCCTCAAGTGGGAATGGCTCAAAGCCGCCCCTGCAGCATGTTTCCAGGAGCTGGAACACGAAATGCAGGGGAAGAGGCAGCCACAAGTAGAGGCGAACCCCAGAGAGGCAGAGCTGTTGGCATAACTGTGCAGCTCCCTCTGGCCTCCACCACCACAGCTCGTACCCTTGCTAAGTCAGAGTCGAAAATGAATCAAAGCTGATCCTTCAGGAGGTTTTCAGAGGCTGTAAATCACATGAGAGAGGACTGCCCCATTTTTCTTCCTTGCAGCAGCTGGTGGATTTGAACCACCAACCTTTGGCTTGGCAGTGCAGCTCCTTGCCCCACTAAAGACCAACCCCCATCCCCTGAGCTTCTCTGAATGGCTCTCAACCACTAGCTGGGCAGAGGGTCAATGAAACCTATGTTGTTGAATCTCAGAAGAAAGGCCTGGGAGGCAGAGTGACGTTCACGGAAGAGACCTGAATTTAGATGCCAGGTGAAAGCACCTCACGGGAAACCACCACCTGCCCTCCGCTTGGAGGCTTGTGGGACCCCGAACAGCTCTGAGCTAAGACAAAGACTGAGAAGACAGGACTGCTTCCAAAACCCAGCCCATGAAACTGCAGCAGCCTCATCTGCACGCACGTGTGAGGGTACCCAGTGGGCTGGTCTCCTGGTCTCGGTGGCACCTGTGCACTGCAGGAAGGCAGCAGCGAGGAGAAGGGAGGGCAGGGCAGCCCAGGATGGCACGTACCGTCGGAGGAAGTGCAGCGCCTCGGCTGTCAGGCGCTGTGTGAGGTTGTCGTAGGACATGGGCTGCTGGGTGACCTCGTGGTTGCGCATGAGAAAGCAGTTGAGCGGTCGGAAGTAGTGCAGGAAGGCGAGCAGCCCGCCGAGGATGGCGGCGGCCAGCAGCAGCAGCCCCAGAAAGACGGCGCGGGGCACGCGCACCAGCCCCAGGCAGTGCAGCACCTCGAGCGTGGCCAGCAGCACGCCCAGCGCCTGCAGCGGCAGGAAGGTCAGCACCCGGATGCCCGTGCTGAACACCGTGCCCGAGCCAGGCTTGCAGTCCCGCAGGTTGGTCACCGTCAGCCCGTAGAAGTAGTCAAAGCCATGGCTCACTGGGTGATGGCAGAAGTCGGCCTTGTGGGCGCAGCTCATGCCCAGGTGCCACTTCCCTGCGGAGACATGCGCACCAGTCAGCGAAGGAGGGTGCGCGTGCGCTTGCGCAGCCGCGTTCCGTGCCAAGGGTTCTCCCTCCCAGTTCCCAGTACTAACAGCCTTTCCTTTAGCAGCCAAAGGCTTTCTTTCCCCTTTAAAGTTCAATGAAAAAGAAGAGTCCTATGTAGCCAACAGCACGACGTCATCCCAACAGAATCAGCTTCTTTCTGCTCTATTCTCTCCCGCCCAACCCTGAGTGCACCCCGAATTTCCAGGGCACATCTCCAGGCCCTTCTGAAATGTTTCTGGGTGGACTTGAAACGGATCAGCTGCAACACCCAAACCCAAAAGCAGAACCGAGCACTGCAATTCCAACCCTTGGTGAACCTAGGCGTTTCTTGACTAACAACTTTTTTAAAAAAACAAAAACAAACACCCAACCCTCAAACTCATTGTCCTGGAATATCGGGACTGACTCATTGCTGCCTCTCCTGTGGGTTTCCAAGGCTGTAAATCTCTGCAGAGGAGACCGCTCAACTTTTTTTGAGGATATGCTGATGGATTTAAGTCCCAGAGCAACTTGGCCTTTGGGTTATTAGCAGTGTAGCAATCCTGCTTGTGGTCCCTTCAAGACCCTAGCATCACAGTTCCCTTGGCTATAATCTTTGGAGTTGCTGATCTCCAGGCCTTGCTTAGACAGCACCCACCCAGGACTTCTGAGTCTTATTGTGAGGGGCCATCGAGTACAGCTCATAGCCACCCTTAGTACAATAGATCAAATGCAGCACCATGTTCATAAGAGAGGGAGCCTAACTGCAATGTGCTTTTAAGTCATGCAAATTTAAAATAAAATTTTAAAAAAGCCTTTCAGTGTGCTTATCAACCAAGGCTTTGCAGTTACAGGAATCTGCTGGTTTACCCTTCCTTCTTGTGCCGTTGTCCGCAGGAAGGAGGGCTGATAACCCCAAAGCCCATGCTCGTGTGGCAGTTTGTATCTACCAGCCGCTCCAAGGGAAGATAAGCAGACTGCGCCTGTGTGACGCCCAGCCTCTGAACACCCACTTCACGGACAGCTGGGTGACAGTTCTAAGTCCACAGCAATGACTTTGAGTTGATGTTAAAGTGCGTCACCAATACCACTTACTCACTTTACCAGAACAAAAGAGCTAGGTTAGTGATTGCAAAAGGGGGGAATGTCAATTTTATTTATTTTTTTTTTACAAAAAGAACTAAGCTATTTAATAAGAAATCAAACTACACAGAAAAGTGGAAACATTCCTCTTTTTTTTTTCCTTCTGGAAAAGATGCTTTTTCTGTGAAATGTCCTCAAAATTAAATTTTCATAACTGACTTCATTTTCACCCTGGTATGTGGAAAGTAAAAATGAATCTTCATTCAAAGAAACTACCCCTGAGGCAGCAGGAAATCGAGCTCAATAATTCAGCAATTATTTTAAACACCTATGAAAATTCCTTATAAAATGTTAATTGTACCGCTGAATTAGTGAACACTTAAAAAAAAAAAAGATGATGGTTTTATACAGAGACTTGAGAGGGAAGAGAAGGGTCATTTTCTAGGGCCCTTGCTTGGAGTCAAGGCTGGAAGCAGAGCAATCTCAGAGGACCTGTCATTCCTGTCCACGGAGGATGCATGTGTCAAGTCCACAGGCACCAGCCCAGCAAACTCCCACAATGAAATGTCAAAGGAAACCGGACAGCAGGGCATGTCCACACTAATGGACATGTTCTGTGTATTGCTTGTCCTCTATTACCATCTGTGAGCAACTGTCTACCACATCTGTATCTTTCTTATCAATCATCTAACTCAGTCATTGAACTCCTCTATCTACCCACCTAAACATTTCTTATCAATCTATCTTATCTACCTATCTCTCCCTGCATCCATTCATTCAGCATTTACATATCTATTGGGGAGCTCTGGTGGCCTAGAGGCAAGAAGCTGCAACTACAGTCCCAGAGGTGCAGGGTTCGAATCCACCAGATGCTCTGCCGGGGAAGGAGGGGCAATCTCCTCCTGTACCAGTCAGATCTGATTTGACGGTACACGCACACAAAAATAATAAAATTTAAAAAAAAATTTAAAAAATTTACATATCTGTGGTTATTCCCAATATCCAGCATCTCTCCATTGCTCTCATCTGTTTCTGCCTTCTCTATCTCTCTGCCTTCCTGCTTATCTCTCATTTATTATCTTTTACTTGTCTTCTCTGTTCATCTATCTATCTAACCACCTCCCTTCCTCTCTGCATATCTCAGTTAATTCTCTTTATCCTTCTCTTTCTACCTGCCTTCATACCTACCTGTGTATCTCTTAACTGGCTGATTTCTCATATCTACCTCTATCCATCCATCTGCTTTCTTATCCATCTGTGCCATCTGCCTGCTGCCTTCTATCTTATCTATCTATCTATCTATCTATCTATCTATCTATCTATCTATCTATCTATCTATCTATCTATCTATCCCACCCACCTTCCTGCCAATCTATGTATTTCTATTTCTGTCTCCCCTCTATCATCTAGGGAGCTCTGGTGGCATGGTCCATAGGGTGTCATGGTACAACCCACAGTCTGTGCCTCTCTGCTGGTTTAACTCCCTGGGAGAAAGATGGGCTCCCTCCCCTGGGTGATTTACAGCCTCTGAAATCCAGCAGAGGATCAGATATGAGCCAGCACCCACTTGACAGCAATGAGTTAGGTTTTTCCTTAGCATCTGTGAACTTGGAGAAAGAAACAATGAAAATTATACAAGTGTTCTAGTCTTTTGTTCCTAGGGTGGCTATGAGTCATCTACAACTCCACGGCACTTAACAACAAACAACATCACCTCATATATCTATTCACCTGTTAAATGTGTCCCTGCTATGGCTCATAATAGTGTCTCTCTGCCTGCACACACACACACACACACACGACACACACGTGTGTAAATACCCATATCTGCTTCCCATACCCCAGGTACACTCCATCCTCTTTGATTTGGAGGTGAAGCCGTGTCTCTGAAGTGTCGCTTCACCCTGAGCTGGCTACCCAACCATTCCATTTGCCCTCCTGCCCTCTGCCAGCCCCAGACATCCCTCCTCAGCCGCCCGTACCGATCAGAGCTGTGGAGTAACCCTGGTCCTTCAGCATCCTGGCGAAGGTGATCTCACTGGGGGGCAGCCCTCCCGACGAGGCGGAGAAGATAAACACACCCACCCGGGACCGAGAGGCCAATCCTGCAGCAGAAAAAACCAGTATCAAGGAAGGGGGACAAGGGAGGTCTCCCTGAGAAGAACGTCACACGAAGGGCGGGGTGGGGGGCACAGCTAGCATTACCTGATCTGACGGGGTACCGGCCGGTCATGAAGGCCGCCCTGCTTGGTGTGCACAGAGGCGAAGCAGCCAAGTGCTGTGTGAACTTCACGCCTCCCCGGGCCAGCCGGTCGATGTTAGGAGTCCTGAAACAAAGGATCTCTCATCACTGGATGCTGGGATGTTTCCCATCACTCTGCCTAAGCTGTTGTTACTGGTGGTTGGGCCAAAATAGACAAGAAGCTATTTTGCAATGTCATGGAATACAATGTAATCACTTTCCATAATGTAATGGGATGTAATGTCATCTCCTTCCACAATGTAACCTAATACAATCTCATCTTTATCCATAATGTAACATAATGTCAGCACATCACTTTCCATAATGTAAAATCCTGCAATAATGTCATCTGCTCTCTCTTCACCATGTAATACAATCTTATCTTCCCCTAGCATACAATGTAATGTCATCTAATCTCCCTCCATCATGTAATGCAACTGTAATATAACCTCTCCTTATTATGAAATTAATCTCCCTCTAGAATGGACTGTCTTCCAAACTAGGGAGCTCTGGCGGCCTAGAGCTAAGAACTTGGGCTGCAAACCCAGAGGCATGTGGTTTGAATCCTCCTGTGCCGTTTAATGCCTCTGAAAACCCACTAGACGGTCAGCTGTGAGTCTGTTCCCACTCAATAGCACCTGAAAACAATAACTGAAACCTCCCTTCCCTCCATAATGTGATGCAATAGAATCTAATCTGCCCCCAAAAGATAATCTAATTTCCTGCTATTATGTACTGTTGTAGAATCTAGCCTCCCTTTATAATGTAATGCAATCTATCTCCTTCCATAATGTAAATAGAATCTAGTCTCCCTTGGTAATATAATACACTATAATCTGTGTCCTTCCATCATGTAAAGTAATGCAATGCCATGACCTTCCATAGCATAATGTCATGGGATCCCTTTCCATAATGGTTTCTCATTTCTGTCCGTCCTGTAACGGAAGGCCAGGGAAGCCCCTTCCACGTGTAATGTAATGGACTCTCTCTCCACCATGGGATGTAAATGCATGGCTACCACCTTACCACCTTGCAGAATACAGTGTACCCTTCCAGAATGCACCGGCCACTCTGCAATGCCCTCACCTTCCCTGACATGACCAAATGGCTAAGCATCAAATCAGCAGAAAGCAGCATCTCCGAGGGGGACCGGCCTGCCTTCGCGATAGACATGCATGTTCTGGAAAACCTCCTTCTCTTGATACCCTGCATGGTTCTCTTCCCCTGACCTACAATGACCCAAGCACCCAGCTGGTGGTGGTGTGAGGTAGGGATCGAGGGGAGAGGCAGGGCACGTAAGGAGAGGTGTACTTGTCAGATGGAGGTGTTGCAGAATCTGGGTCAAGGCCCAAGGTAGGTCACTGGTGGTCACTCTGGCCCCCCTCTGAGGGCCCATGGCCTACTTTCTGCTCTAAGCTAGAGTCAGCAGGGAAGAACCAAGTGTTGGGGCTGGGAGGGAAGTGAGCTACCAGCCCTTCCTCTTCCCCAGCCTGCACCTCAGAAGACAGGCTTGGTGTTCTCTTTGTGAAAAGTGCAGCTATCAGAACCGTGTGTGTGTGTGTGTGTGTGTGTGTCCCGCCCCAGAGAAATACCTAGGGAGCTTGGCTCTACTCTGACTCTTAAGGGAAATGAATTAGTTGCAGTCAACTCCATGGTAACTGGTTTATATCTCCTTTTATAAAGCTGTGCATAATATTTCAGCACTCGGCTGCTAACCAAAAGGTGGGAAGTTTGAACCCACACAGAGGAAGCAATTTGCCTGGAAAACCCCTCAGGACAGCTGAGCTCTGTCGGGGGATGGGGGTGGGAGGTGGGCACTGCAAGCCACTGTCTGCTTTCAGGACGTGCTCCATGTGCACAGAGGCCGCACACCTGCATGGTCCCACCTGAGAGTCTTGTTCCCGTAGCACCCGGGGTCCCCGATGCCGAGGTCGTCCGCCATCAGCAGCACGAAGTTGGGCCTCGAGGCGGCGAGGCTCTGGGCTCTGGTGTGGAACAGCAGCAGTAGCAAGAGGAAAAGGTGCAAATGCCGCATCATCCTGCAGACACAGACAGACATGAGGGGACCCCATTGGGGTGCTGGTCCCCCGTTTATCCAAGCCCTTTTCCTCTGCCTGGGGCTTTCCCAAAAGAAGGCACTCCCACAACTCATCCGCAAGACAAGACCGGCACCGTTCATTTCTGGGCCGCTCCGAAGCTCGAGTGGTAAAGAGTTGCAATGCCAACCCAAAGGTCCGCAGTTCGAATCCACCCACCACTCTCTGTGGGAGAAAAATAGGCAATCTCCTCCTGCGGGATTTGTTGCCTCTGAAAACCACAGGGAATTGCCAGAAGCACAACCAAATGGGTATGAGGAGAGACAGAGCAGACTGCTCCTCAGAAGGGAAGGTTTTCCTCGGGCTGACTCGGCCACGGCATCAGGACAGAGTAGCCGCTGCAGAGGGGCAACCCAGACTGGAAAACGGAAGCCACTGCCCTCAAGTCCATGCCGTCTCCTGGAACGTTCCACCGGATGCCTGAGGCTGTAAATCTTGATGGCAGGGAAATGCCCATCTTTGCCCCATGAAGCAGCTGGCAGATTTGAACCAATGACCTATCGGTTAGCAGTACAACATGTAATGCACTATGCCACAAGAGGCCGACAAGCACACCCAAAGCCAGCACTGGCTGTGAGGACACCCGGGGACAGGCCTAGCTTCATCCTGCTGCACAGAGCATCCCCGTAACTCAGAGCTGCCTCGATGGCACCAGACAAAGGGGGAGACGTCACACACGCTGTCCGAGTGGAGCTCATATCCTTTACTGAATCAAGAGTAAACAGAACGTGCCTAGATCCTGAGTTCCGTCCTACAGACCGGTGTCAGCGTCCATTCACAGGTCTCCCCATCCTATCTGTTGCTGGCTAGGGCAGCAGAGTTACTCTCTGGGGGGCAGAGAGACAGTCCTTTGCCTCGTAGCAAGTCTGTTTGCACCCATGGTGGCTTCCACCCACTAGATGCCACGGGCAACGTCTCCTCATTTGCCTGCAGCTATTTACGACGTGTTTTGGGAGGTGGGGAGTACAACTCTCCCCAGGTGCGGAGCACTGAGCTTGGACCAGCCAGGGGTCCCTGCGTGGCCGGCACGGTGCCTGCTAACTGAAAGAATGACAGAGACTGCCTCTTTGCAAGACAGAAAGGTCTTTCTAGCATATCATCCGGAGAGTGTGTCACGCTAGGAAAGGAGGAGGGGTCAGTGCAAGACCCTTAACGAGACGGCTGAACGCAGTGGTCGCCACAGGGGGCTCTAGCAGAGTACTGACGGTGAGCACGGTTCAGGGCTGGGGCTTCTTCCTTCAGCTGTACACGGGGGGCTTGCTGTGAGTCCCACAGCCCCTGACAACAACCACATTCCTTTCTAAGCTGCCTTTGGGCCGTGCAATGTGCTCAGCCGGGAAACCAAAGGTTGATGGTTCACGCTCACCCAGCAGCTCCACGGAAAAGCAAGCTGGTGAACTACGTGCGCCTAGGGAAACCGTAAGGGGTATCTTCTCCCTCTCACGGGGCCGCCACCGCCGCCCGGAGCTGGAATGGATATTATGAATCCCTGAGGACTCTCCCGAGGGGTGTTGTAAGGGTTAATGCATTCGGTTGTTGGGAGTTTCAAGCCCACCCACAGCCGTCTTGGGGGGGAAAAGAATGGCCCAGAGATCTTTCCTTCCCCAAACTATGAGGGACTTAAAACCCTGTGGAGCCGCATGCAGCTCTGACACCCTCGAGGACACGAGGAGTCGGGGCCTCAACTCTGCAGAGGATGATGATCAGATGAGTGCCTGGCAGCCAGGACGTCTTTGGCTGGATCAACGTGGCAGCGTGTTTTTAACTCTGCCTGCAGAAGGGCCCGAGACGGATGCTGCAAGGCCTCGAGTGAGAGAACCACCATCTATCCCAATTAAGAACATCCTAATCAAAGCCCATCCAAGTGCTGAGACATGATTACCACCCTCACTAGCCCATCGGCCTCCTACGCACAGCCACAGATCACAACGAGGTGTTTATCAATGTGTTCTCACAGCTGAGTGAAAAAGCGCCGCTCAACGTTCCTCCAAATGAAGGTGCGCCGTGGCAAAATATTAAGGGGATAGTTGCACATGAACTTAGAAAGGAGCTCTGTGATGCTCCTTGTAAAAGAATGGAATTATGAGGGTGGCTTTAGGGAGTGAAAAGCTCCTACACTTTTCCTGAGCGTTATTTAGTCCTAAAACAGAATTATGATGCAGGAGTGAGAGAAAAGGACATGGTCTTAACTAGATATGGAATTCGATGAAATCTGCTTGTTAAGAGAAAAGTGAGCACGGTTGCAGGGACGATTTCTAAATTGCAGCACCACACAGGGCATGGACACGGGACTAACTGGGGGAAAGCAGCACCAAGCTGGCTGCTGTGAACTCAAGTCATTGTGCCAGTCAGTCAGAAGTGCTTCCGAGCAGACCCTCCAGTGGGTCCTCTGAGGCTGTCCCTCGCCCAGGCTGCCCCCCCTTTCTCCCGTGCAGAGGCTGTTGGAATCGAACTGCAGGTCTTTGGGTCGGGCAGCTATGAGGAGTCATTAAAGATGTTCCAGATACCCAATGCTGTCCAAGTGCTGGACCACTCCAGCCTCTCTAACATTCAGTACTCCCGCGCCTTCAGCATCTCCCTCCCATCTCTAGGACACATGATTTGCAGCGACACATCTAGAAAGTAATAAACTGTTAAGAACCAACTCAGGCATCAGTGGAGGCTGGGGTGGCCCCCATTCAGGTGTCAGGTGTCACTGACTCCATTACCTGCAGGGATGGATGCAGCCCAATGGGCAGGTCAGATGACAGGATGGCAGTGAATCAGGTCAAAACAACAGTCCCAAGAGCCAGAGGTCAGCTGCTGGCCAGTCAGACACAGGGCTGAGAGCAGCACTCCCATTCACTGGAGGCAGACCCCATGATGAAGGGAATGCAAGAGAGTGACCTGAGGCACAACTCCAGTAAGACGGGGGGGGGGGCTCTACGTGCATCCCGTCTTGCTCCTGCCTCATTAACAGCATGGACAGTGGACACTCCTCTTTGGAAACGAGGCCACAGATGTGAGCATTCTGACACATCAAGAAACGCAAGGCCACGGCTGAACCCAGCACAGCCATCAGCTTCATGCCAGCTCACTGCCACCCTAGAAGAAGGTGAAGTGTCCCAGAAGGCTTCCACTGTAACACCCATGCTCTGAAAGGGGGCTCTCAAAACTCAAACTGAACTCAGGTTGCCTCGGTAGGAACTGGTGCTCCTAACCCTTGGCGGCACCCCCTCCGGTGGTTCAAAACCACCAGAGGTTCCGAGGAAGATACATCATCTCCTCCAGTGGGATTTACTGTCTCTGAAAACCTCCTGCAGTGTGAGCTCTGAGGCTCCAAGGGTCATAGTAAGCAACTCACTGCATCAGAACCATGAATATAACTCCCAGCTTAACACGGTCTTTCAAATGCCCCTGATCCTTTTGTTCAATGGAGAGAGAGAAGGCTTCTGGGAAAGAGAACAATCCCCATGACAAAAGATCGTTTCTGAAGAAAAGCAGTTCTGTTTCATTGGAGGGAATGTATGAGAAATGAACTTGGTCTCACAAACGGAGACGTGGAGACAGGCTGTTTTATTAAACCATTAAAGGAACAGCAAGCACTTGGTCTAAGAGGGAAAGTGACCGTGTGTGTGTGTGTGTGTGTGTGTGTGTGTGTGTGTGTGTGTCTGTCTGTGTGTGTACAAAAAAGAGAAAGTGAGAAAAAGAACGAGAGTGAGAGAACGAGAAAGAGAGAATGAGACAGAGAGAGAAAGTGAAAGAACGAGAGAAAGTGAGAGGACGAGAGAGAGAAAATGAAGAACAAGAGAGAGAGAGAAAGTGAGAACGAGAGAGAGAAAGTGAGACAAGAGAGAGAGAAAAAGTGACAGAATGAGAGAGAACATGAGAACAGGAGTGTAGACAGAAAGTCCTAATTTAGTCACAAGACGTGCTCAAATATCAACATTCACATTTTATTTTCTCTACTGGTCATGCACTCAACTTCTAACCAAAAAGGCCCGTCGAAAGAAAGGCAGGCCGACTTGCTTCTGAAACGAACAGTGTGGGGCAGTTCTCTTCTGCACCCAACACACCACACTGAGTGCCTGATCTTTCTTCTTCAGCCTACCCAGGGATACTTAAACTGCCAGCCTTTACGTCCAAAATCCCCACTGCCATCTAGTCAATTCCAACTCATGGTAACCTTACTGGACAGAACAGAGCTGCCCCAAAGCGTTTCCGAGGCTGTCATCTTTATAGTCAGGGGTGGGGTGGTGGTGGACTGTCTTCCAAATTTCTTGGCATCACCCAGTGAGCACATACATCCAAGGCTGCATCTGTTGGCTGACGTGAGTTAACTGGTATCCCATCAATACCTAGGGCCTCCCCCGCCCGCCCCAAGGGCTTCAGTGCAGCTTGAACTTCTTCCTTCATCAACATCACTCTGATTGGTCATCTTTCCCAACTGGATGTCTTTTCCCAAACACCAGTCGCTCCCAGCCCATGATGTCTTTTCCCAAAGGCTGGGTCCCTCCTGGTCCCAATATGCCTGACGTATTATAACCAAAGGTGCAAAGACCTAAACCCAAAAGGGAAGAGCAGACTCGGCGCTCTTCAAGCTGAACTAGCTGAAGAACAAATTCAAAATGCAAGTTGCAATACGGGAAAATGTTACAGATCAAAACCCTGACTGATGCAAGAAGTTATCAAATGAAGAGGGAAGGCATTCACAGTCACTGGAGCGCAAAGAACTGGTGGACACTGAACCATCTCGGGAAGTGGCACATGTCTACGAGCGATGAAGACAGACGTTAAAGCCGCACTGAAGACATTAGCGGAAAATATGGTCCCAGGAAGTGATGGAAGACCATTGGGGGAAGCTTGAGGGCAACCTGGTTTTCCGTGTGTGTGAATGGTTGGTGGTCTGGGAGAAGACACTGAAAGACACTGTCCAACACCGTAGGTAGCTCAGAGGCCATCCAAGCACAGGACCCTGCATTGGCATCAAGGGCTGCCAGACCAAAGTGACCACTGCGAGAGCAAGTAGCTCTGTGTGGCCATCTGTCAGAGCTCCCGCGTCATGAAGAAGGGCTTTTGGACAGGGTAACAAGTGCAGTCCTCTATAACGAGCACACTCGCTCACCTGAGCAGCTTCACCTGAGAACACAAGACTTCAGCACAAAGGTCACGCCATGTGGGACAAAGGTAGAGAGCAAGTAGGTAAGCCAGCCTTCTCTCTGAGCCTGACACGCTTTCCAGCTCCTCCCTCCGCCTGTTAGACCAGGGAGATAGGTGGGGGGTGGGGGGTGGGGGGGAATGATCGCCCCCATGGCAGAAACTCGATAGGAAGATGATCATTAACAAATAATTTGGCAACTTAATTTAATTAGTGGTCATTTGAATGTTTGCAATCACCGTAGAAAAGCAATTTGCATCTCACTAATTAGTCCCACTCATAACTCGTTCGCCCCCTCCCGGTCTTCCCCTTCCTGAGCCTCACACAGAAAATCATTATAATCAATAGAAATGACCGGGCAGCGACGCGTGTGCGTTCCAGAGACAAGCAAGGCACGTGGGATGGGAAAGCGCATGGCAGCAAACGCGAGGTGCAGCATGCAAGCCGCATGTTTCTTTCAAGGTCAAAAGCAAGCAAGCTCTGGGGTCAGCGGCACAGTGACAGGTATCACTGGCAGCTCTGCAGTCTCTGCAACGTGCAAACCAGGAAGCGGGGCTAGGTCCGGCCACCCAATGGATGAAGGTTCACAGGGACACAGAGATGCCTTGGAAGAAATGCCTGGCAACCTGCCTGGGGACAAAGATGCCATTGAAGGGCACAGCTCAGCTCTGAGACACACAGTGGCAACTTACTTTTGAGTTTTGTTTTGCTTTCTCTAGCTTTGACACCCCCCCGCCCACCCTGTCTTGAGGATGTGAGAGAGCAAGGCATGCACATGTCACCCTCTTCTCAGAATTCCAGCATCCAAAGCACAACCTCTTAGGCCCTGAGTTGATTCTGACCCAGGGCAAACCGCGTGGGACAAAAAAGAAGAATGCTTCACAGAGTTTTCTCAGCTGCCATAGTTAGGGGAGTGGGTTGCCATGGTGCCAGAGGGTAGATCTGGATCTCCATGTTTTTAAGTTAGTATTGCTGTTGGTGTTACATGTGGGCACTACAATCCCTGAGGTGCACGGTTCAAATCCACCAGATGCTCTGCTGGAAAAGGAGGAACAATCTCCTCCTGTACCAGTCAGATCTGATTTGACGGTACACATACACAAATAATAATAATTAAAAAAATTAAAATAAAAAAACATGTGGTCTAGTGTGTTCTGAAGAGCAATGAGGGTCACTTTGAGGACTGAGGTGCACCTGATTCAAGCCACGGTCTTTGCAGTCATTCACTATGCATCTGAGAGGTGGACAATGAAGAGGGATGACAGAAGAATTGATGCCTGTGAGCTGGGGTGTTAGAGAAGAGCACTGAACAACATCCCATGGACGGCCAAGAGAACAAACAAATATGTTTTGGAGAAAGGGCAGCCGTAGCGCTCTTTGGAGTTCTCCTTTGGAGAAAAATATCACGGCTGGAAAAGTGGAGAGAAGGCTCAGGGGAAAACAAGACCCTTAACAAGATGATCAACACAGTGACCACTGCAAAGGGCTTGAGTGTGGCAGAGATGATGAGGATGGCACAGAAGTGGACAGCATTCAGGTTTGTTGTTCACAGGGTCACTATGAGTGGTACTCGACTCAATGGCACATACCACCAAGAAGAGAGAGTGCAGTTATTTATAGTCACTCATTAAGGACAAACCCAGGTGTGTTCTCCAGCTCATCACGCAAAATGCGAACCTGAGGGGGACCCATGCCTCCCTGAACTGGCCTCAGATTTAGATCCCACCTTTAACTATACTCTTCTTGAGGCCACACCATCCCTCGCCGAGCTCCTGCAACTCCTCCAACACCTCCAAGCCCAGCCACATGGCTGCTTCTGCAGCCAGCCACAAAGTACTTAAATGAATTCTAAGCTTCAGTCAGGATTCAAAACAGTTAGGGTTCTGGCTCTGGACTTCCCATAAAGCAGGTGACTGAGCCCTTGATTTCTAATCCATGACAGAGCATCTCTGGAACCCTGGTGGCACAGAGTTTGAGCACTAGGATGCAAAGCTATAACAATCAGCCGTTTGAAGTCATCGGTGGCCCTCTCAGACACAGGAGAGGGGGCATAATTCTTCGAAGAGTCTTGGAAGCCCTCGTGGGCGTTTCAGCTCCATCCTCTAGGGTCGCCATGGGTCAGAATCCAGCACCTGGCAATGGGTTTTCTGATTTGCTGGTTGAGGGGAGAGACTGATAGGATTTTTATTTCACCAAGAAACGTATAGAAACAGGATGCTGTTGTAAAGTGGTCTGGAGGTCATGACTTCCAAGAGCAAGCACATTCTCAAGATTGCGCAACCACATTGGTGACATGTCATGCTAATAAGCCTCAGATCACACATCTTCACTGTGCAGGGCTTGGACACAGTGCTACAACTGTTACGTTAAACCATCTGGCTAAGGGGTTTGTTTTTGCCCACTCTCTAGCTGACCAAACGTGATGTCCTTCCGTTATGAAGGGGCTGGGAAAACAACAACCAGGTCTGTAGGGCAGTTTATTTGTGAGGACTAAATCTCCTCACAAAGCACAAAACTGAAAGTCAAGATTAAAATAGTGTGAACTTTCCTTTTCCCCTCTGAATATAAATATGCCTGAACAATATGTTGTTGTTGGTGGCGGTGATGATTGTTATTGTTGCTAGGGGACGTCCAGTCAAGTCCAGGCCATAGCCACCCTGTCCTGTCCTGGGCCATCCTCATAATCTCTGACACACACACAAGCCCGATGCTGAAGTCACTGTGTCAATCCACCTCGCTGAGGGTCTCCGTCTCCTTCTCCATCTCCCCAAGCATGATATCCCTCTCCAAGGAACGACCTCTCCTAACACGATGCCCAAAGTGTGTGAAGCAAAATGTAACCACCCACGCCTCCAAGGAGCACTCTGGTTTCACCTTCTCCAAGACATAGCCATTTGCACTTTTGGCCGCCTGTGGGATACAGTGAAACTTTCATAGCGAGGTTTTGGCATGTCAGGGAGTCCTTGAAAAAGGCAAACGGTGAAGCGTCAAACAGCTGGTGGCTTGGCGTGTGAGCAGTTGGACTGCCAACCTAAAGGCAATCAGATCGACCAGCTCCTCTGTGATTATGAGAAAGAAAAGCCACCTCTTCCCATGTCCTTTGTAGCTTTGACAGTTCTCAATGAGTTGGTTCTGACTCCAGAGAAATGAGTTCTTTTTGCTAACCCACATGGAAGTTCCTAGGAAGAAAAAAACTGGGAATCTACTTGTCAGATACAGATGGGGGTTCTGGGAGTCAGGACTGGCTCAGTGGCCACTGGTCCAGCTGGGCGGATAAGTTTCGGACAAAATATTTCCCAGGAAGTCATTTAGCAAAACTTTAAAAAGTAAATTCACATTTATGAATAAAAGCAACCATTTACAAATGTTGGAAATGCACTCCCTCCCATGAGAGACTGTGCCATGAACACAGAGTGCTAGGGTACCAGTCTCCAATTCCACGCTAACCATCAGAACTGAGGCGAGCACAGGACATCACTGCCCACAGACAACACCGGCCAAAACCCCTCACTGAGGAAACACGGGGGCTTCAGGACCCAGTACTGGTTATCATATTCCAGATCAAAATGCAAAACTCAAGTGTAATGCCGAAAAATCAATCAGCCACCTAGAAATGCCATTTGCTTTACATGAGGAAACAGGTAATTTTTAATGACATTTTTTAAGTTAGCAAAATGGATTACAGGAGATGTGCTTGTCAAATGTAAACTGATAAACTGTTTTCTAGAGAGAAAAAATTTATATATTTATGTATGTATAT